AACACTACAATCGGAGTGCACGGGTATCGGTACGGTAATTGACCCAAGAACATACGTACATATGCAAGGATACAATAGCAAAGATTAGAGAATAGAGAAGTTTTTATTATTCCCAAAATAAAATTCTGCCCGCTCGCGTTTCGGAGCAATCGACAATTTGAAATAACGGAGCACGAGGTGTAACGTCTGAACGAGGAAATCGACGAAAATATTGTCGCGTCGTCAGGATGAATCGATATCGATTCACCTTGTACACATAACAGGCTTTGACCTTTTGGTAATAGGTAACAACGGTGACTAATCGGACTGTGCCGTATTCGAAGCACGGATGTTGTGCTCAAATTCGCTACTTTTAACGAGACAGTGAATTCAATGTAACCGAAATCATGGTTTATTTATCAACGATATACTACCAGTCGGTTTCTTTGCTCTCTATACTACGGTTTCTGTGCTCGGAAGACACGTAGGCCAGTTGGTAATAATTTATTAAACAAAGTCGTTACTTTGGGAGCGATATTCTCGATCGTTCATTCAATTTGATAATGCCGTTGGAATTAATTTGAAATTTAAAGTTGGGAACACGTTAAATTAATTTGAAAATTTGGAGTACACGATACGCTTAAGAATACGAATTAACGAATAACCGAATGTTTCTTTTCCAGACCAGTATTACGTAATTGTATTATAAATGACCAGGGCACTCGTGCTCCGAAAACTTATACAACCTCATTCGTTTACGTTTCCACGTTCTCGGTAATTTTCGTACGTTGCGAAAGACGCCCGTTGGATCCAGGAAAATAAAGTCATAAATGATATCTCCGCTACGCGATCCGTGGTGTTAATTGCTAGTAACTCGGACCCAGTCACGTGGTCCGTGTACGCGTGATCCTTGGCCAGAGTCATCTGCGCAGGGTAGAAGTAATTTCTCGGTTGATTGGTAAAGTTGTGAAACTTGCTTCACGTTTCGCGAGTTTGCCGAGTGTTCGGGACAGGACAAAATGGAACGAGAGTAGAATACAATTTTCGAGCGGAGTGCTTCTAAACGAGATGTACATACGTATACATATTTGAAATCGCTCGAGGACGACTTCGAAACTTAATTTGTTAGGCTTTCGGGTTTGTCAGATTTGGTTAGTGGGTTGAGGTGTAAATGAACTGTTCACGCGCGGTTTGCACTACATAAAGTAAATATTTATTTACGTAAATATATATATAAATGAACCTCGACTATTGCCGCGATCGTAAGCATAGAACGCATAAGGAACAATAAAACAATCAACATCAGCCGATGTCGCTGCCACGAATCAAGCCGCTGGCGATATATTTCCTAACAGGTTTTTTTTTCTTCTTCAATTGCTGTCATCTATTTTTGTATAGGTGTGGGACGTGTTACATAAACTTGGAATATTTTTGTGCCTCGAATTTATTCACAATGATAAATCTAACAAACAAATGTAGCTTTGTAGGCATTTATTTTTATTTCTCTGTTGCTGGGTGCTTCTTTGTCTAAAACAAACTACAAACAAAAATGATTCGGCAATTATTTTTTGTCAGTGTGTGTCGATGTACACCACCACTAAAAAACGCGTGCTGGAATAAATCGGACGAGTAGGCGATAATCGTGTAACACGCGTTAGTGGACGGGGCGAGGACTGCCAAGCGATATATATTTATTATTCAGGAATCGTTCGGATCGTTAGAATCTCGCGGAGAGTTCAGGTGTATTACGTTGACCTTTGCCCCGAAGCTCGTGGAGGTAATCGCAATGCAGCGGGGTATGGCTTGTAGTTCGATGGAACACGTTCAATAACTCGAGAGTCAATGAAACTTGCGCACGCGAAGGTATGCCTACTATCGGGGGACGGCCGTTCTGTTTATGTTGGAACCACCACGATCGAGCAAATTATTTTCATAC